TTAAGGTCCCTATTGCACTCGGTTGAGGTAGATGAAGTGCTGGCTGTAATGGGGATGAGGCGGGGCGGGGAGGGGGAGGAGGTACGCGTTAATACCCTTTTTAAGCTGTGGACTATCTATCTCTGGTTAACATAGGCGTACGGGCCGTGTGGGTGGGGGGGGGGGACTGCAGCCCCCAAAAAAAAAATTGGGGGCAACTCAGTTTTTTTGGGCAGCAAGAGAAATTTGAGCAAAGCCAGTTTTTAAAGACCTTTCGATGTTATTTTATTATTTCGAAGGGATAGATATTTTCTATTTTAACCTGAGGTCAGCGTGGTAAATCCAGTTAAAATCACACGAGAATGGTTGCTTAGAACGTGATGAGTTTCTGGTTATTAGTGAAGGGTATCATATGTTGATTTACATATTTGTAGTTTTTTGTTGTTTGGCACTGTACTGCACTGCACTAGCTGGTATGCGGTATTTCCAGACGGGAATTGATTAGAATCAACTTCCGCATAACTTTCTAGAATCATCTCCGCTCGCAGAAATGCCGACATGACCATTCAGACCGTGTGCTAGTGTCGGATTCCCGGGATCGGATTGAAGAAAGTTTCAAAAGTGTACTGGCAGATAGCATCCGCAATGGGCCTTAAACTGAAGAACTGCCCGACCAATTCTCAGTTTGAAGGCCCTTGTAGGTGATCACGCGCAAAGACAAAGAGAAGACAAGAGAATAATTTCCCGGGAGGGGGGGACTCCCCTCATATAAACCATGTAAGTATGTGCCGCCCCAAAGGGTATGGTTTTTGGGCCTTTTTGGTCTGAAAACGGGTATACGCTTTGCCCTTTTCGGTCTGGAATCGGGTATGGCTTTCGAGGGAACTACCGGAGTGTGTGAACGTATTTATCGTTTCAATTCCAGTTGAATAATAAAGAAGTAGAAATATGCGTATTCAAAAGGCATTTGAAGAATTTTTTTGTTTGCGCTCTAATCCAAGAAATGATGACATAATTTCTGCTTAAAGGCAAGATCTGAAAACGGGTATGGATTTTAGAGGTCTTGTCTGAAGAGGGTCGTGAAGGGGTAAAATGGGAACTGGGATTAGCCTTATTGTGGACTGGGAAAATGGGATTTACTCACTGGGACTGGGATTTAGCCACTGGGAATGGGATGAACAATTGTAAAATGGGAATGGGATTTCTTTTCTTCAGCGGTCTTTGCTCCAATATTTTGAAATAGAAAAATAAAATTTCGTAGCAATAGACCTTGCACTCCTCAGTAGAGACCGTGAAATCAGTATTTTTTGCCTTCGCGCCCGCGGTCTAGCTACCAGGCTTACACGGTTGCATAGTTACGTTCTCTAAGTTTTCCTGGTCAGCGGACAAGTTCTGCAAGTTTGGATATGGCGGGAAGATATTGTGAAGGGAAGATAAAAATGGCTTCGGAAAAGGTTTCTCGCAAAATGGTACTAGAAGTCAAATGGTACTAGAAGTCAATGGTACTAGAAGTCAATGCAAATAACGCCGTTATACACACTGAAAATTTGGTAACTGGGATTTTGGCAAAAAATAATTGGGCCAAATTTAGGCTGGGAACAGGGATTTGGTACCCCCATTCACGACCCTCTCTGAAAACGGGTCGGGAAAATGACATTTCTTGGTCTTAGTCTATCTGAAATGGGTCAGCGTTTGGATAACCGGGCGGCACACCACCACCGCAAGAAATAATTTTTTTTTGAGCTTGGGTCACCTGTGGAGGAATGAAGGAACTAGAAATATCCACAACACAGAGAGGATTGATATAAAAGTTTTACTGTACTTTAAATTAACATCTGTACACTAAAATAATAATAATAATAATAATAATAATAATAATAATAACAGATGTAGATAACAAAACATGGTCAATAAAACATGCCCTGAATTTCTACGTTATAACACCATGACCTGACATTTTCTGGCTTAACTGTTCACAAACTTTGCCATAGATTTCTAGTAAATACGTTGTTCATATGTATCAGACAGTTTACAGGGACTGTGGAAAGACTTGGAACAACAAGAACACGACCAATCATCTACTGTCAAGTTTGAAGCAGCGCATGACACTGGATCGGCTTTGTTTCGAATTGCACTGTGGGTTGTTTGAGAGGACATTTTGTCCCAGGTTCCTGCGAGAAACAATCCCATAATTCAATTCAACACAGTGCCGACTCCGTCTTAGTTGCAACCTCAAATTGGCCTGTGTCCGCCGTAGTGAAGTGTTCCTCTTAGACTAGCCTATGTTGGGAAAAGGTTTTGTTACAAATCTTACTGTCATCTCTTCTTAGGAAATCATAGCTCGGGGCGTTTTAAATACATAAAACTCCTGATTCTAACTAAGGTTTGCAGGATATTTTGATAACCTGTATGACTTCTTATTCCTGACTTACCAGCAATTAAAATGCACGTGCTGGCTGTGGGATGAACTCGAATTTTATTATTTTAATTCATCATTCACTCTTTAGTCAGCGAGTGCTTTTAATTGCTGGTAAATTATCCAAAGCAGCCCCTAACCCTTAATTAGTACGTCAGCAATTAGCATATTTACACTCAGTAAACTATGAGTTTGTAAAGTTTATATTTACTTACATTGCAGATAGATTTTCAGAGTATTGAATTCGTCATTTTTCTTTCACACGTCATGCAACCCTTAAAAAGGTTACGCGACGTTTGAAATAAAACCACAAATTGCTAAATTCATCAATTTCATTCACAAAGGCAATTTTAGGCACTTATATGAAAGACGAGCAATGTTGTCTGTTTGAGCCATCTAGACCTACAACACTCGTCAAAAATCTTGAAACTCTTGTGTGCGTTTCCCCTTTCCCAATGTTGATTGGATATTACAGTCGTCTCAGTGCTCCAAAATACGCGTGGCTCAACACTGGGAATAAAGAGGGGTACATTTGAGTGAGAACAAAGGAGTGCAGAGTGAATGTAAGATATTTTCGAGAAAATTCAAGAGAAACGGTTTGTTTCAACGATTTGTGAGGAGTATTGAAGGCTGTCGTTTTTAGAGCAAAGGGATTAATTTCGAGGACCCGCGCACACACGAGGGGAGAAAAGGAGACGAGGCACCTATCGCGGAGACCCTAGTTTCCACCTTTCCCCTTCACGTGTTTCTCTCGCGCGTTCCCACGCACGCTATCCTCGACCAAAATTTATGACTGGTTGGTTTGTCACTCTTTTAAATCTGTGGACAATATCCAGAGATATTACCGTTCAAGTGAAACCTCTTTGGTTTCTGTGAATTTTTCACCCCCAAAATGGAATTTTGGTGAATTTTTTAAACTGGCTACATATAAAATGGGAGAGAATGGACTACTTAACATACTTAAAAGATGTTGTTGTTCTAGGTGACTCAGGAATTGGCGTTAGAAATAAGAGCGAGTGAAAGAAATACAAATGAATAGAATACAAATGAATAGTCCTGACAAGAACATTTGAGTTCGTTAAATAACAAGATAATTATATCAACCTCTTTCTGCCCTCCTGAAATCACTCTAGACAGGCATAACATAACTACACTTACTTCCTACATTAATAAAATAGATACTTTTATTATAAACATTTGACATGTTGTTTCATGTTGTTTTTGGGTTAACCTTAAACCACCATGCACCCCCTTCCCCACCTTGCAAAACTCCTCTTGAAATTCTAGTTTTACTGTAATCTTTCTTTAAACAGCTCAAGAAATTCCTCCTCCCTTAATTGGTATTTTCAGGAATTCCCAAATGAAAGAATTTGGGAACCTCACAAAATGTTCACTGTAATTCAGTCAGGCTAAATTCTGTGCACAGTTGATCATTTGATACCTACAAGTCCTTTTAGGGGCATACCAAGCCTTTTAGCAATAGGGGGGGATCAACCTCCTCTGATATTAGTCACTTAAAGTTCAGTTACGCAGTAAACTGTAGACGGAAAATGTTTTGATGTTTTTTTCAAGGAGTTTCATTTAAGAGCAAGAGTGTCATGGATCTTCTCCAGCAAAAATAGTAATAACGGCATCAATTAAAAAACAGAAAACGCTCATGTATGATGAAGACATGTATAGTATAGAGTAGTAGATGTCACACTGCAAGTGTCTAGTAGGCTCTGCTGTAAGAGTAGTTGGCAAAACGTTCGAAAACAAAGTTTTTCTTGAAGGTTTAGAGCAACCAGAAGATGCATTGACATTTAAAAAGTCTCTTTCGCCATTAAAAAAAAGAAAGAAAAAGGGGATTCCAGAACCCCTTCAGTGAACCCTCCCATGGGTACACCCCTGCTTATAATTTTAACAGCACAGATACAGGGTTGGCAGTATGGGCAATGTTGACTGTAAAATACTATGTACAGAAACTTATTACCATCTTAGACCACGAGTGGTCATTTGAGCTTTGCTCAGGAACACTACAGTCAGTGAAACAAGCAAGTACGTGTTAAAACCGTAATCCATGCGTCACCTCTCTTCAAAGGACGCATTTTTCACACATACTCACTTCCTTCACTGGCTGTATTATCTCTGGGAAAAATAAGGGACTGGGTTGATTTATTGTTTGTGTCACAATAGACACTTTGATATTGATTATGATCTTTTAACTGGTAACAGCTTGTCTTTCACGTGATTGCGTTGATTGATTTGGTCTTCACTGTAATGGTTAATTGACATGGTCAGGATTGAAATGCACCAATCACCAACAGCCATAGTGCTTTATAGTACATGTCAATCGCCATATCGCCTGACAAAGCACCAGTTATTCAAAAGGCATATAACGCTCTACACTGGATAAATCACTATCTACCAAATAACACAATAATATTGGTTTCACTAACATTTTATCCTCAGGATGGTGATTTATCAGTGCTATCCAGCATGCAAAGAAAGTCATCACTATCTACCAAATAACACAATAATATTGGTTTCACTAACATTTTATCCTCAGGATGGTGATTTATCAGTGCTATCCAGCATGCAAAGAAAGTCATGTCTGATAGCCCAGGGCTAGTGGATTTTGCAATCGGGCTAGTGCTTTTTTGTTCTCAACTTGCCCAACAGGCAAGTGTTGTTTTTTTTGGAAATTCAAATTACAGAAGGATTGTAATCAATCCTCCTAATCAAAAAGGGTTTTAGGGCTAGTTGAAATGACTTGTGGGCTAGTACATGCTAGCTACAGCTTGCCTGAATGGCAGGCTGTAAATCTGACTTCCTTTGACACCCTGCTATTTAACATTCAACCAGGCCCAGTAGTAAGTAATTGGAACGACCTCAAAAACAAAGCAACTATTATGAAGCAAAAGATCGCCTAATTTTTCACACACAAACTGTGATGAATAGCATCTTTTAGTACATACTCAAACAGTGGCGAGCTCTAATTGCCTACTCAAACTACGAATATTCAGTACCATTCACCTCCGAGCAATGCACGCCAAAATTGTAATAGTTGGCAGCAATAAAGTAGTCAAAAATCATCTTTTTTGTGCTCAATTATCTCACTGTTTTAGTATATACTAAACTTGAAGCTCAGTAAACATCCACCACTTGCCACCTCCACTTTGGGAGAATAATTGTTATTTATTTATATTAAGGGACTAATTGTCAGTAATATTATTTTCTACTAAATATTGATCAGCTTTGTGCCCAGATTTCCACCATATTGTCAAGTCCCCATAAATACCCATCCTCATGATTCCCCTCTTGCCAAGGCTTTCGGTGGTCCAGCCACATGCCATCTGGAAGAGGCACAGTTTTGCCAAAATCTATCATCCATACGCTAGCTTTGCCAAATGCATCATGGACAAACAACAGAGAACTACCTACCACCTGGAATAACAAACAAGACCAAGTTCAATAAGTTTATAGCCGGCAACCAGAGTAGACTGCAGGAGCTTGGTTCCTTGTAAGATGGTTAAATTTAACCAAGGATTAAGCCAAATTTTACGCAAGGTTTTCTTGCCTAAGAACTGAAAGAACATGTAAATCGAGCTTACAAAATACTGTTGTGCCTTTTTAAATGATAACACAAAATATTACTCTAGGCAATGCATAGGAAGGTAAAATAATACAGAAAGTAGAACAAAATTGTAATCCTGGATTAGAACTAATCGGCCTTTCAGGAACCGGGCCCAGGTTGCTATTATGCGTGAGTGGGATTTGTTTGGACTTCCACTAAGAATGAATGGAATACATAGGATGGAATCTGATCATGAGTGTTTTGACCTTCTATCATGTGAAACTTATGCAAAGCACAATGTTGGAGGAAGAGTGGTTGCTTCCATTTGCCTGCACTCCTAAACCTTTGGTTATTACAAGTACAGTTGAACCTCTCTACAATGGCCACATTTGGGCCAGTGGCCATTGGAAGTGGCCGTTGTGAAGAGGTGGCCATTGTAGAGAGTTTTTTTTGTCTGCCGGGACAGGAAAAATAGGCCGTTGTAGAGAGGTGGCCATTAGGCAAGGTTTGACTGTAATATCAATTTCATTAAGAAACAAAAGGTACACTTGAGAGAGTGAGGGCAACACTTCTGCATCTTAGCACATCCAAGGGAAGCTAAACAGGATGGAATATCCATGCTAAAATCACTGCAGGCAAAGCAAAGAGGAATGGGAAAGCCCCCTGGTGACTTTCCTTAACTGCACCAGCTCTCTAGAAACATTCCAATTCCACACTTCTCACTGATGGAAAATTGTTCCTGCTCTTGTTTTAAACTATGCCTTTCAGTAGTGATTTCACTGATAAATATCCTGTGCTGATTAAAGCGTTATTACCACATGTGTTGAATGTTGTCAGCAGGAAATAAACCAATACATGCTACTTATAAATTAAACATATGCAACAAAATATTAATGAAAACAAACCTCATGTGAGCGGAAAAATGGAGAAGACTCTAGAGTGGCTCTAATAGCTTTAAGCCGTCTTAAATACTTTCTCTGCAAAGAAAAAACACTTTGCCTTAGTTATATGATTTCAAATTCTGTGGCTAGTAAAGCAAAATCACAGTTAAGGCAAAATATAAAGTTAGTCGTGCAAAGTATGTTAAATGACATTTGATCCAGAATTGAAAATAGCGTATGTACAAAAAATATGCTTACTCTAATTTTGTCATCACTGCCAATAAATTCTGTGAAAACCTTGTTAACATCTTCCTTTGTCTTTGTTTTCTTAAAATCTTTGTTGGGTTTTTGATCACCTTGCTACAAGACAAATAAAATACAATGTTGCACAGAGCACACAAAAAGATTTGTTTGAACACAGGGTTCATACAAAAAATTGCAACCCTTTTAAAGGGTTTTTCAAGGATTTTTCAAGGACCACATTCGATTTTCAAGGACCCCCTACCAAGAGTGTAATATTATTTCACCGATTGTACAAAAATGCATATTCAGCACATTACCAGTCCATTCTCACAGGGTCTTAAGGTTTGAACTGTTTCCTCCACTGACTTCTCTATATTTTTCAGTTTGCTTGTCTTTATTGCATAAGACAAAAAATTCTTTATGTAAATTAGCTTTAACTTCTCTGAGCTATCATTTATATTCTGTCTTACACAACCAAAAAGCATTAAAAACACCCCCCAATTCAAGCCACCACATTCAAAGTTGAAGAAAATTCAAGGACTTTTCAAGGACTTCCCTGAAACTGAAGTACTTTTCAAGACTTTGTGAACCCTGGAATAACACTTTAATGCACACCTGAATTAAGGTTTTAAAGACAATTTTATCCAGCAAACCTTAATGCATAATTCTCTCTAGACATAGACATTTTTTTGTTTTACATTTGTTGACCATTTTAGCTAGCTCTCATCTTTCTCAAAACAAGTGACATCTAATGATGTTATCACTATAGAATACTGACAGCTATCAAAACTGTCTGTAAAGAAAAGATTCGGCTACGTCAAAAGAATTTATGTATTAATCTTATTCATTAAGTAACTTTATCTCTCGTCTGCTTATTGTGAAACATTGTTTTTAAAATCACCAATAAGGTTCCGTCATTGTTTTCTCAATCTGCGCTGGGTATCAATAATCCTTATCTGTTTGCCTTGGTTTCATGTACCAGTATGCCCTGCATTCAAGGCATTAATTAGGAAGAAAAAAGACTTAGTCTATACTTTTCAGACCTCAAACTCCAACTAATAAAAGTTATAAATCCTCTACATCAAAGCCCAACTACATTCCATAATTATGCACCGCTCAAACCTCATTTTTTTTTCAAAGTTGCCTTTTGGTGACCAAAAATCACAAAAATTAATGATTGCCAAGCATAAAAATTAATATTGGTTGACAGAGAAAAACCACACATAACACAGCATAGAGGTGTGTGAACAAATCAAAATGGAAGCCATGCAACTATTGCAATCAAATTTAGTGGTGCACACAACATCACAACACTAATAACCAGACAAACCAGGGAGAAAAATGAAAGAAAATAATTATTGCCCAAATAATACATCATGCAAATGTTTATCTCACTTGAACTTCAAAAAGACAATAACGGCTTGGCTCATGATCACCAAACATAGGTTGCCAAATTGGTGAATTTCCCTGCTGTTTTAGTTGCCAATTCTTTTTCGCTTGCCATGGCAGCTGATAGGGTTGCAGTCAGGAGCGCTGATATGGATAAGCTGTAAGTCTAACCTTAATTCCTTCAATTCTGAAGCCAAGACTTGCTGAAGAACTAAGTTGCTCTCTCCACCGCATGTAACGTGGTTTGGTTATTCCTCCTTCTCTTCTTTCATCCTCTGTTGGTTCATTGGGATCTACCTCTACCATTTTCTGAAACAAATCCTGCAAAAGAAATACAAACCACTTAATATGGACATTATTAAAATAAGAAGGACAACATGGATGGGTCTTTCAGTGTCCTTAATAAAGGGATTCAATATTGTATTTTATAACATCATTCAGGGGTGTAGCCAGCTTTTCGACTTGTTGTAGGCCTGGCTGACTTTCTTTTCCACGTATCTTGAAAATTGCAAGCATGACTAGTACACACTGTCCTCACCAACACTTTGAGCTCTTAAGCAATTTAGCTCAACCCAACAACACATAATTTATTACAAGCGGTAGAGTGATCAAATCAAAAATTTGTAGGCCTGGGCCTACAGGTCTATGAGCCGGCTACACCCCTGTCATTAAAACTCAGTGTTCACTCACTTTTCTTGGTTTTGATTTTGCTTTTGCAAGTTCATCTTCTAAATATGTTCTGTTCAATGCAATAGAAAAGAACTGTTTGATTGCAAAGCCTAAAACACTGTCCTAATAGACCAATTTTGATATGTCAAAATTCATACTAGGCTGCAAGACTTCACAGAATAAAACAAGAGAAGTGATCCTGAGGCTCAGCATTGAACAATGCCTTTCTTCTGATTTATAATCCCTAAGCCTTGGGGCCAAGTAAGAATTTTAATATATTGAAATTGGTCTATTTATACCCAATGGACTCTCCATGGGCCATTGACAAAACTTGCATTGGACTGGATTGCATCAAATCCCTGTAACCCCATCTCCAACCTTCCATCATTTCAGTGAGTTAGAGTTGATCAGATCCAATTGGATCTGGTTTTGTTATGCCTCTCTCTATGGACATATGTAGAAGCAGTGTTGTCAACTCTCCCACATAATCTGGGAGACTCCTGAGTTTAGACCGTATCTCCCCGTCTCCAGATTAGGGTCTGAAATCACCCAGATAATCGCGGAAGTTTGCCATTTCTGTGGACCTGACTTCTCGACAATAAAATTTCAAATATTTTACTTTTTTTGAGCTATTTTATTTTACTGTTAACATCGAACGTTTCCTCATAAACTCTGGTACATGTATGCCATTTTAATATAAGTAATAATGTGATCAGTGTAAACCAATCAGGTCAAATGTTACAATGCCAACAACATCTATGACTGAAAAATGAAGGTACTCCCTTTGCACTTCAAGAGGCTGGACCTTTGTGTGGCTCACATGACCACATAAAATGGCAGTCCCGTCTCCAGTAGAAGACTTAAAAAAATAGTGTTCCCAATTAGCAATTTCATGCTAAATACATTGAAACTAAAATAAAGGACAGTTTTTTTAAAATTTGAAGCGATTAAACCACCACCACTTGTGTTGTAATATTTTGTGTATTAATATTTTTTTCATGTAAAGTAGTGTACCTTGTTCCCATTTTACAATCCATAACAGACGGACTATCAAAATCTTGAAGTAAATCTTGCATTTCTAGATAACCTGATGTTTACATTGAGGAAAAACAAGCAAATAATGTAATGACAACGGCCGTATTCTCCCTTGATTCTGCGCTAATCTCTTGTTCTCCCGCATCACGGACCAGATCACCAAAATAAAACCTACTCTTGAAGTTCCTACATATGACAGTTTTTGGAGGCATCTTTGCAAACACTTCAGCACTGACATGGATTACGTCATCATTACAGTCTATAATGTATGTAAAACTATGCTTCATGTCCTGAGCCACACCCATGGTTTTATTTGGGGACTGGGTTGATTTGAGTTTATCAGGCATTGACGGGGGGGGGTGGTGGGGGAGGGTGGTAGTTCTTTCAAAAGAGACTCTCCAGATTTTAGATCTCTAGAGGTTAGCATCTCTGCAAATATTTGGTGGATGAAAATGCAAAATGGGATTCAAAACAATTAATTTCCTTCTACATAAAATTTTAATTTTGTATTCAACCCACAGAAAAAGAGTCAATTCGATTTCAATGCATGGCACTTCACGAGATGAGTGGTAGTGGCACCTTAAACCATTAAATTTGTCTGACAATCTGCACCTTTAAATAGTTTTGAACATTCTTACTTCATTTACATAATTGATGAATCGAATGATTTACCTAAAGAAATTGCTGAGGTGGAACACTTGAACATTTTTCAGATGTTATTTCACCAGTGTTTCAGCTGAATGTTAAATTATCTCGACATGTCAACATATTTTTGAATTTTAACCCATTCGCCCCTGAACCGCCCGTAACCGCCCATGCGGATCCAGGTCCTTTCTACCCTTTGTGACCTCATCAGTTTTAACGGTCAAGGACAACTTTCTAACTTGTGCAGAGTGAAGAGATCTTTCAAACCATACCAGAATGAGCACAATTCAGTCAAGGACACCGGAGAAAGAAGCAAAAAACCACGTGACACTGACCCGAAAATCTCCATGAAAATCTTGTTCCATTAAGCACCTACCTTTCCTTTCACCTAATCCTAAGATCCTAAAAGCTTTCCTAAAAACTATTCCCACCAAAATCAAGCCTACTAAATGCCCAGCAAGAGAAAAAAAAAATGAGGCAAGAAAAGCGAAAAAAGAAGGGAGGAGAGAAAGCGAAAAGTAAAAGTCAAGACTGCTGTGTCACTTTTAAACCCAAAAACTATCTCGAAATTTTGCTTTCTGCGCATGCCCGAACTTTGCAGGCTGATATTTTGCATCTGGATCAGAAGGCCACGAAGTGTACGACCTGTAAACCGGTTTCTGGTAAGTTTTAGCTCTTTATAGCACGACAGCGACCAGAAAACCACTCAACTAGCTTCAAAACGCTTTTTTCGGCAAAATCTCCAGAAGCGAATGGGTTAAACAGAAATTTTTTATTCATATGTATATTCATTGTTATTGTTATTGTTCTTTTTTTTGGAGATGAACTAGACAGGGTTAACCCCTTCATCTCCTTTTCCTCTGTGAATAAACAGTTATTATTATTATTATTATCACAGGCTAGTGATACATTTTCTTAATTCAGCATGTACTGCATCTATTGATTTCTAACAGCAACCTTAACTTAATTAACATGAAGGATACATTCATTTCCTTTGTGAACTTCTCCTTTGTATTCTGGAATGTAAGGTCTCAGAATATCTTTCATGAGGTTTCTGAGACTCTCCCTCTCTTTGTCTGTGGCTTTCTTCAAAATCATGCCATTTTCACCTGGTTTGAAGCTGCCTATAACAAATAATTATTTTTATTCACAAAAACCACTGATTATGTTTAGAGATTATTGTGGGAAATATGCTGGTATGTGTGGGGTGGGGGGACAGGCACAGCTAAAAAAAGTGCCATCCGGTCATCTTGAACAAGTAGAATTTCCTGCCGAGCAAGTCACTTTTCAAACTCACTTGCCTGATGGACAAGAGTCCATGCAAGTTCTCTGCCCACCAAACTGAATTAACTTAAGACCTGCCTGGGGCAAGGTGAGCTACTTGTCCTAAAGGCAATCTGGAAGTCAAGTTTTTTTCAAGTCCTGGACTGGGGTTCAACCCTCCCGTAGACTGCATTCCAGGTTCTCATTCCCTTTCTCTCAGCTGCCTCCATTACCCTAAATCCTCTATTAAGCCCCCAGGGGCTTATTTATTTCAAGCCCATTTGAGGGGAGCTTAATAGAGATGGGGGCTTATTTAATTTAGAAATGACGATGGTATCAGTTCTCCATAAAGAAGTAGAATACAAAGTAGAAGAGCTTAAGTACAAGACATTTTAGGTCTTTTGGCCAAGGATTAGAATCAAATCTGACCTTCCAGTTGGTAAATAAACCATCCCAGATCAGTCTCTACACAAAGTTTTACAGTCGTGATTGATTAATACAGTCTATCATATATTAGTAAAGAATAAATAGGGGAGGCAGGGGCTTAATAGAGAGGGGGCTTATTAACCTTCTTCCCCTGATAAGGGGGCTTATTTGAGAGGGGGGGCTTAATAGAGGATTTACGGTAAGCACCTTTTCACTTTCCTATGTTCCCTCACAACAAACATAGACATCATGAGAGCAGATTTTCACAGTGATGGCGCGCAGTTGCAAAAAAAAAATCCCACTTAATCTTACAGGTAGTTGCTTTCTACAGCTAGCTCCAGGGGAATAAAAATAAAGATATAAGCTTACCTTGGTGGCCTGCCAATTGAACCCAGGGATATTTCTTTTTAAAATTCTGTACAAATGGGGACCAATGGATCATACTTCGGATCTTCTTCCACCGTGAATCGACCTGCAAAGCCACATGAAAAATTTTATTAACAATGTGAACACAACTACCTTTATATATGAACCAGAAAATCTTGTACACATGCATAACTGATCATTGGCATTTACACCAGGTTTTTCCTCCTCTTTGCTATCCATACTTTTTTTACCAAGGAGAAATATCAGTTTAATAACTGATGATGGTTTTAGCAGACTAAAACAGCTCTTGAATAATGTCATGATGATAAAAAAACACCCAGTTTTTCAACTTACAAAATGTAATATAGTTAAAATGTTTCACAGAAAGAAAAGTACATGTATAGAACATTTCATATCAAATCATTTCATATCTAAGGTATAAAGTACAAACATTTTATGTCTGTGTTTCCCAGTTAGAAAGATTTCACACTGATAGAGCCAATGTAAATGAATTACGGCTGAAAATCACTTCTCATTATCACAAATCTGCATTTAATATATAACACGATCTCCTGCATGACACAATGTCATATCGCAATATTTTATTTTATCACAAAAGATATATTGACATGGGCCTTTTTGTGTATAAGAAACAATGGAAAAGCCCTGCTGTTGGAAATTAATATTATGTTTTAATACAACTTTCAAATACACGGAAATCTTTTGGATCATACTTCACTTTCAAAGCAGGGTGTACTTTTCTTCAGTCAGTAAACGACCATTTAAAACTTTTTGAACTTTTCTAAACATTATTTTGAATAAGCCATACCATCTCTGGATGCCTAGGATGGACCTTATAAAAACAAAAAAGGTTCCATGTTTACATGTGAGCAGGTGTTGAATAAGTTTTTTGAAATGTCAACACAATCTTGAAGGTGCAGAAAAAAAAGAGGCAAGAAAAAAAACACACACACACAAACAAAAGATGTGGTTTATGAGAAAAAAAAAGATGATTTTCCAGTTACACAATATTCAATACTATGTTTTGGTCTCCAAACTAAGTTCACTATATTAGAGCAATAGATTACAATAATTGTAATCTGTTGCTACGACAAAGTGAACTTAGTTTGGAGACCAAACAAATGGTATTGAATATTGTGTAACTGGAAAATCATCTTTATTATTAATTTTCTCTCTCAGTAGGAGGGATATTAATTTTTGTCGTGAGATCAAGCACAGATTTTTATTTTACTTATATATGCATAAGCTCATGCTGTGTATATCTTAATCTGAAACCGAAAGACTCGCCAAATTGATATCATGCAATGCAGTGCAATGAATACTTGACAGAAAACAAAAATGTCCGCCATATAAAATGTATTGTTTGGCAGATGGTAAAAACTAAATAAAAACTGGTAAAGGTTCATTTGTTATAAAGTGAAAAACGAATTAGAGACAGCACAAAATTAATATCATTTTCTTCAAGTAGCTTTTTATTTTGCTTGTTTTTGAGCATGGTGCAGTTGACTCCCGATAACTCCAACCCTAGCTAACTCGAACCAAAATCAATTTCCCTCAGATTTCCGTCACACATTTACTGTAATTTTACCCTTGGTAACTCAAACCTCTCTGTAATTTGAAGTAATTTTTGCTTCCCCCCAGATCATTTCTATGTAATTTTACTCTCAATAACTCTAACCATGTCTTCAGCCCTTAAAAAGTCAGGAAAAACAGCGTACTGGCATTTCCAAAACATTGAATTTTGAATTTCCCATTGATGTGTTCTAGGCATAATGTTTACTAGTGAAGGCTGATGTTGTTTGTCACTAATCTAACGTGAAACAGCTTTACTTCAAAACAGTAAAATACATGCTCTATTTAGGCAATGTTTTGTTAAGTTACGTTCTCATTTATAGTCTAGAAGTATCTTTCCATTTTCTCTTAACATTCCTACAATTATTAAATATGATTTAAATATTCCTTGTGCAGTAAAAACTGTTTTTTGCCTTACTCGCGGCTATTTTCTTCGAGCTCCCAGTAACTCAAACTTTTTTCAATTTCTCTTGAAGGTCTGAGTTATCTGGAGTCAACTGTACCGGTAGTTTGCTGTATGGTGATGACTCAGTTGTAAACTAACTTTGCCCCAGATTTTCTCCCACAGCTCTAGTCTGTTCTTTTTTGTATCTTATTTTTCCTCACAAATTTGGTGTAAATCTAATTTTTTGTGTAGTGAATCTTGTTTATCATCTGAGACTTCTCCTTTGTTGTCTTATCCTTTTCACTCTAGCGAGCTAGGGCATAAGGGCGAATCATACCATGCCACTGAACCTCGTCCCATGCTTTAGCACATAGTTTGCCCCAGGAAAAAACCAACTACCGGTAATATAGTCTTGGAGCTTTCATGGTCTGAGTACGTGGTTTTGCACATTTTTGCAGGTATTTCATCACGGACAAAGATTATTTTGCCATTACAATCATAAAAGGGAATTGTGATGTTCTGTAACTCATGTAAGCCTTCATAATTATAATGTCCTAAACCATTTAGGGACTGGATCGAATATTACTTATCAGGGGTGGCGGGGGGGGGAGGTAGGGAGAGAGTCTCCACAGTTTTGATTTCCAGAGGTTGGCAGCTCTGTAATTGGCTTGTTAAAGTCCTGTTACAGTTTCAGTAATGAATTCAATGTGCAATCAGACTCTATTTGCACGAAAGTATTTTCATAATCTTCGCACCCTGTTATGTTAATTTTCGTGCCACATCGCTTTAAATGCTGTAATCTGCATGATCAAAAACATTTTTCCTTGATAATGGAGTCATGACTACTCCGAAACGTTGGATTTTAATCAGACTGGGCAACTCAGATTTTTTGGGCAGCAAGAGAAAATTTGAGCAAAGCCAGTTTTTAAAGACGTTTCCATGTTTTTTATTATTATCACATGATGAGTTTCTGGTTATTTTATGCTGGTTTTTTTTTTTGTTGGGCACTGTAATCTTGGGCTATTTCCAGTCATGTTATTGAATAATAACTTTCTAGAATTCCACTCCTAGAACAGTGTGTGGCAGAACAAGCATCAACAATTTAAATGGCTGTAATCAGTTTGCGAGATGAATCTCAATTTTCTTAAAAAAAAAACATTTTTTGTTTGATAATGGAGGAAACCACTAACATGCTAATCAAATCCTTCCTTATTAGCAATTGGCAGGAGCTATATCCATGATCTTTCATACACGCGTTTTAATAAGATTGAAACTACTGTGAGGTGAAATTGCATGTCAAAAGCGCTCCGTTTTCTTCAGATTACGACTAAACATCAAGATTTTCCTTTTCACGAACATCGAGGCGACTATTGGAGAAAAGAGCTTGAACGATTTTGTAAGAACAGTTCCCAGTGAGAAAATTTCTGCAAGAAATAAGTAATGGCGTCATTTCGTTGCTATGACAATGCTGTTTTTTCCAGTGTGGTTTATTGGTGATGTATGCATTAAAAAAAAAATCCTGACCAACCTCAACCTGGAGGACCACTGATGCCTCTGAATTTTCCATGGAAACCTGCCTGAGTTGTTTAAAACTGCAAGGAGCTTATGTCCCCACCATTATAAAATCATGTAGCTCACAAGGTCATTGAGACATGCAAGCCCATCCTCAACCACATCACGCATAGGATCTGAGACGTGTGTGGCAAAAAGTTTACACATCCAAGATGGAAAGAAACATAAAAAAACTTGATCACAAATTTTGTGACTGATGTAATCAAACATTTTTACCTCCCCTAAGTTTGTACAGTGCCAAATTAAAGTCGTAAAGATGAGCTCTTCAGATCAAGAGACAGCATTTCTGTGTTCATGATGGGGCTGACTGAAGATCTTACCAATCTGACTCTGGACCATCATCAATGATCTTTTCTCTCAGTACTTGTAGCTAGGTAAGCAATCACTTACACTACGCCATGATGAACTTTAAAGTTATGGTTGTTTCATTTTTCTGTTTTTTTAGTTTTTGGCAATGTGTTGACATATATAGTTGTGGCCTTTGTTTGAAAATATACACAGTATGCATATGCCATGAAATAAGCTATGTTCAAGAATATGAAAACAATTTGTTGTAACTGTTTGTTTTGGCTCCCTGAAATCTTAGGGCTGCTACAGGACAATAATTTTTCATGCCTGTGATAATGGGTTGTAGGGAAGTGCAAATTTTGCTAGCTACACGTACATGAGTTGAGAAACAATTTGTTTGCTTTAATTTTTAAATGCTCGCCTCTGCCTGTAAACAATTACAAATATTAATTGTTAAATATCAAGCTGTTAAGTTTTACATGTTCACTTACTTTTAGTTCACCACTGACAACAACAGTGTGTTCTTCAATTCACATCATACTTGCCTCTACACAATGAAGTTTTGCAGTTTTGTAGAATCTGTTCTGGCAATCACACAGCTTTATAACAATGCTTTGCCAATTTTTGAAGTAGTCATGCATAAAAAAATTAGATTAAGAAATGTTTCTTCGGTTCCTTCATAATTTGCATCTGGTCTAGTCTAAAACTTGCATTCCTACTTAGAACACCGGTCTCCATGACCTCAAATTTCTTCAAAAAAAAGATCATAACCTTCTTCTTTGAAATATCTAGTACACTGGAGAAAAAAGCATCAAAAATGTAATTTTATTATAGAGGGACTGGGTAAACTAAAGGAACCAGAATTGTTCCTCAAAATTATTGTCTGTACGGTTTTGCATATTTTTATTATGATCTCATTATCCCCTAAACCATTGACCACAGAGTGCCTCCTTGATATTTGTGGGTATTAGCTAAAGCAAAGATGAGCATAAACTGTGGTTGCCTCTAGCAGCTTGCTACTACAGTGAAAAACAGCAGGACAAAAGACTTAGTGTACTCGGAATTTGAAAATGAGTAACACACAACAGTCAAAGGAGAAATGTTTCCAATCTTGACTGGCTACTTTCTTAAGAGCCCAGCTTTTGCAGTTGTGTATAATGGCAATAACAGCCCCTGTATAATTTTGCAAACAGGGAAATAAATGCAATGAAGCATGCTTTGTTTGCTTTTTTTTTTCTTCTGGCTTACTACTGACACAGAAATGACTTACAAAGTGAAACAGCAAAATCACTGAGACAAAAAAAAATATTGAATCTGTTCTTTGACAACATTTAAGCCAGAAAAAATTGGCCTCAAGTTCAACAGAGGCTGTCTAAGCCTTCAAGCATTTATAATATTTTATGGTTGTTTGACTTAAACACCCAAGTTTAAAGGTTATCTATTTATATGATAATGAGTTATGCATGACTTAAACTACACCAACACAGAATTTTGATTAAAGGCTATAAAAAGCAATATAATAACACTATTATGAAATTAAATATTGGCAATGAACAATTTGGAAAGGATAAATTACATGCAAATGGCATTTTGAAAAAAAAAACCATAATAATTCTAGCCAACCATTTTACTAACAATGAATATTTCAATTACAACTATGCACACTTTGTTAATTCGCCAAAATAATTGCTTAAAATCATAGATTTAATCCCAATAGTACAGAGAGTGAATGATTAAAACGGTACGATACAAAAGATCTAAATATAACATTCTACATGTAATTTATTACATAAGGAAATGCTTTATGAATCTATGCAAAGTTCCCAAAACAAGGGAAAGTTAGTTTTTAAAATACAAAAACATAACTTCAAATCAGGAAATCATTCTGTCAGTGGTTATGAGTTACATAACGACTTCCTCAGGTCATTGAGATAAAGAGGTTAATATATTCAACTATGTATACAAAAAAGCTGATGATTCCTGCATTATGCATGCCACCCACTCAGTGCTAAATACACTTTTGAGTCACGTATATCACATTTAAATAATTATGAACTTCCTGGGTTCCACACGCGATATGCTATGCATGCAAGTTTTACATTCCAAGAACAAGCAAAGTTGGAAGGGATAAACAGCTGTATGAGTACGAAATAAAGATATTAATCTGTTTTCAAAAATTCTGTCATACAAAAGCAAGGGACCTTTTCAAGCATGATAAGCACATTGAAGCAATGTTATTGTTACAGGGTGAAGAGACATTCTATTTTACAATTTGCCTAAATAGCGACAACCCTGGACAAAACCTGCTGAGACAAATTGCGAAAATGCCTATTTTTTCCTATCATCCTGGCAAAACCTGAAACCTCCGCCAAATGAATGCCCGATTTCCCCCCTCCCCTTATCCAAAGTTGTTTAGGATAGCACGGTAATTATACATGTATATGAGACAACTTTGAATAGGGGATGGGGAGGGGGCTTACTTTTTCTGTTTAGTGGAGACAAGAGTAGGGCACAAAAGTTTGAAAACAGACGGAATTGTCTCAACAGTTTTGTCCGGGGTTCTAGCATGTATTAGAGTTAGGGTTTGGTAGTCATTTTAAGTAGCCCTCAGATTTTTTGACACAAAGGATTAATAATCTAAAATAAAAAATAAATATCTACATTTTATATTTATTGAAACATCCACATATGATTATGTGTTGATTTATTAATAAATAATAATAAATTGATTACTAATCCTCCTTGTCAAAAACAAATTACATCATAAGTTAATTATTAATTACTTGCTTATCTATTCGTTGCAATAATAAACGTAATAACTTTACTTTGTCAGATCAGCTTGAAAAATGAATTTATTGGGACAGGCACTATGTGTCCTTTTTAGAGAGATCCCCATCTAAGATGGACACCTTTGGGACAGGCACTATGCGTCCTTTTTAGAGAGATCCCCATCTAAGACGGACACCTTTGGGACAGGCACTATGTGTTCTTTTTAGAGAGATCCCCATCTAAGATGGACACCTTTGGGACAGGCACTATTTGTCCTTTTTAGAGAGATTTCCATCTAAGATGGACACCTTTGGGACAGGCACTATGCGTCCTTTTTAGAGAGATTCCCATCTAAGATGGACACATTTGGGACAGGCACTATGTGTCCTTTTTAGAGAGATTCCCATCTAAGACGGACACCTTTGGGACAGGCACTATGTGTTCTTTTTAGCGAGATTCCCATCTAAGATGGACACCTTTGGGACAGCTGTTTTGTCGTTGTCATTTAGCATGACACGATTATATATTTTTGTTTCATTAAACTATAAGTATATTAAGGAGAGCTTCGCCGTTAGCTCTGGCTAAATCTATATATCGTAACACCTGCCAGGTGTGCATGCTTTTAATCTGACATTTGACAAAATTTTTGATTTTCTGCTAACATAAAATGATAGAGTGCTGTCCAACTAATGCTGGTTGGTGACAACCTGCTCACATTATAGGGTTGTTATTATGCTTGGGAATTTTTATGTGTCATGTGGCCATGATTTTTTCAATAAAAGGCTTTCACTTTAATTTTATACTAGTACCAATTTATGGTAAAACTGGAATTTTCAAGCTAACTCTAACAATACCAAGGTTTTCATCTCTCCTGGTAACTTTCACTGCATTGTGATGCTTACAGTCAGTAGAAGAAAAGCAAAGGACAATGTAAAAAGGACTCATCCTCAATGTACATGTAGAGTACAGCTCAGAGATAAGCAACCAATGCACATGCAAACACATGCACGTTTTTTGCATTAACACAAAATTGTTAACTACTCTGAAAACTCATGGGTGATGTAAAACAAAGAAGTCAACACAATATATAGAACCTGGAAAAGCTAGAGGGGCATAAAAAAGAAAAAGTTCACAGGTTCTTAGACTGACCTAAACCCATGATAAGGGGTTCATGCATGACAGTCAGATAATTGTCCAGTGTGGTGGTAGACAAAACACTGACCCCAAGTCCACGGACTTAAGCCCAGTGGACTATACCAATAAGGACTTGGGACTAAATATAATTCATCAAGGATTTGTTTCTTCACTCCTATACAAGTATTTTTGGAATCCCAATGTACTGTTGACATACTAAAAATAATGTTACAGGAAGTAAAGTGCAGACAAGTTGTTGCATGCCTTTCTCTTTCAACCCGTGATTTAATGTTGTAGTTTGACTTAATTAAAAAATGGAAATGAGGAAAACATTCAACAAGGAATATGGACTTAGTGTTTACATTTCAAATAAGTGTAAATTTCCAATGCCCCAAAGGTTGTCAAGTAAAAACATTCCTGTCTTTTTTTGACGTCAGCGAGTTTACAGGAATGTTAGACATGAAACTCGAGCCAAATGATTAATATGTTTTATTTATTGCATGGAAGTTACCCCACTAGCCCTTATAAATTTTGATCTCGGCAACAAAGCGTTTAAATAGCAAATGCTTCGATTAAATCTTCTACAATAAACTCCATAAAACCAACATACTATGAAACTACAAACACTTTCAGCCAATAATAAACATTATTCGCGAAACGATTGTCGAAATAAACACCATTTGAAACGAACATCAACATGGGAAAGGCTTCGCGATCATTTCTGCTTATGCAAATAAACACTCAAACGAACTAAGTAAACGATGACTACTTTAGCACCTCGAACTATACCTTCGATCGCATCGGAAATCATTTAATAACAAATGGCAGTTAAATGATATACGAAAAGCGAATTGACAAAGTGGTCGCTCCACATAGTCACACAACAAATGGGTTTGTTAATCGCGAAAAACGCGCGAAGCACACGATGACGTGAAAATTCTTGAATACTAGAGAAAAACTAGGGATCACACAATTGACAATTTATAGGCTCTCACCTTTTCAGATCTGTCTTCCAGTGGCTGCTTAATTTCATCATCCGATGCCTCCTCATCAGTCAAAATTTCGCTCTCCGAACAAGAGCCAGCGCTTGACAATGAACACGTTTCGGTTGCATCCTTTAAGGAAAACATGGCCGCGGATAATGCACCATTTTTGCAGTTGCTCGTGGTGTCAAGACACTCGTCTAATGTTTCTTCCGTCATGGCCGGTGTAATTACAACTACCGGGAAGCAATTTATTTGTTCAGGAACACCGCAGCAATGTCCATCCTCGATGTTATCTAACTTGTCGCCGCAATTCAAGGCCTGCTGGTCTATCGCTCTGCCGTCATTATAATAAATCCCTTCCCTGGGGCGACTCGTTCCGTCGAGCGCCAAATTTGAGCTCGAGCAAAACGTGTCTTCCCTTGTTGGTTCGTGAGTTTCTCCGTTGTTGTTCGTATTGGCTACCCGGTTATCAGGTTCAGCGTATTCACTGTTGTCTCTCGTCTGAGCAAACTTGCCTAAGTCAACGATAAACCCACTTTGATTGTGTTCAGAGTCGGCATTCGTTAACACAGACTGCCTCAAGGGAGGGTCCGTATTGTTTGACAAGTCAATTTTGCTTTCTCCGCCGCAATTGGTTTGATCGCTGTTGCCAGATTGACTGTTTGGATTGGAAAAAACATGTTCTTTCAGTGCAGTTATCCGTTCTGCCAATGTTTGACTAGACATCTTTGAAAAGAAATTATCCGTTCCAGCCTCGCCGTTGTATTTGAGAAGAATTTCGTCGACGAAGACGCTCGAAGCGATCGACCTCCATCTTGTATCTTCGTCGCTCATGGCCTAGCATGGCCGACGAGATCGAAGAATACGCTGAATAAGTAAAGAAAGAATCGCAATATTAAGCTTATAAAATAACACCGCTTCCGAAAAATAACGTCAATTTAAATATCGCTGCGGATATTTCAATTTTGCGAGGTTTGACGTATTGGTATTTAGGTTAAAAATCAAGTCTTATTGTTAGACTCTAGCCCAGTTAATCTCTTCGTCAAGCTTATAAAGATTACATTTACTGATCGATGCAGGCTTAAAAGCTTACCATAGACTCCACTGTAAACTGTAAATGTGTTTAAGTCATGTTTGCTTCAGCGCGTAGAATTTCGCTGTTGAGATGCTCAAAGCAACGCAAATCAGAGCCGTGACGAATTTCGAGCACTTGAACGTGCAATTGCCTTTGGTTTTCGGTTGGCTTCAAGTGTCGTCGGATCACGCAATTTCCGTTTTGTAATTGGAGCGTGCAAAATGTTTGGCAATAAAGCAACTCGGACATAGAGATCGGTTCTCGGTTGCATAAAGAGAGTTAAAATATATCTTTCAATTTCAATTTTTCTTTTAAAAGAAACCCACCTGGTATTCAGGATGCAAAATTCTTCAAAATTTTTCGTACTTAAAACATCTCTCTGCCATAAATAATAGCAAAGCTGCAGGAAAACAGAAAGATTTCTATTTCGATTCCAACGTATGCATAATGTTTGGGTTAAAGACCTATACATGTAGTCATGTTTACACTTCGACAATATCAAATAATCTGTCAAAACTGACAGTTAGCTGACTGTTGTTTGCTTTGGGGACTAAGCCTCCCAAATGCCATACTTCAGCCACGCCAAAAAAAATGAGAGAGGTAAAATGGCTTTATCTAGGATCACTGCCCTGAACGGATGAAACTCATGAAACTGACCTAATCCAACAAAGATTACATTTGGATTAAACTTTTCCATTTTAATCGAACGTTTTCAAGAAGAAATGAATCGCGCATCGATCACGCTGCATTATTTATAACAGGCGGTTTTGTATGATGCAAACCGGACACACCCAGGCGGAAGTAAATTTTTGACCATACGAAATGTACGGAGTGTGGTAAAACAAGACGAAACTTAAAATTTCCTTGCGCAAATCGCTAATTGCCAAATACGTTTTTACCCAGATAAACTGTTCCCAGCCCTAGCCCTCTATTTTTCTCGTGTATCAGAATACCTTAGCCTGCGAACAAGCTCTCCATTTGGGGGAGTCGCGCGACGTCACGACGCGAGAGAAGACGCTAGGGCGAGGGGGTTCGCCGCTCACTCGTGCGTTGTAAGCGTCCTCTACTGCGGAACGTGTGAGTGGGTGGGGGTCACGAAACAATTAAAGCCACTCAATGGGCAAACCCTCGGAAGACATGCAATGAGCATCCATTCAGCATTAGGTTAGGTCAACTCAGGAGCCGATTGGACATGTCAACGTCGATGATTTGAGCGAACTGAGAGAATTAAATGAACTAAAAGGATAAAGTGAAATAAAGTGAATAGACCTGAATAGACAGACCAATTCCGGTAGTATTAAAATTCATACATGGAGTGCGAGGCTTGGGGAACTAAAACAAAAGAAATCATCTTGAGACTCAGCAATGAATAATACATTTCTTTTTTATTATTGTTGGTTTTCACATGACGTCACTAAAATTCAAACCAAAAAACTATCGATCCTACCGAGATTTTACTTTCAAGTGTATTAGAGCAGCTGAAAACTAATTTTCATAAAAATTTTCGCTTCAATAGGGTTCTTGGTTTGGTCAGTAGATAGCCTGTGCCAGGCTCTCAGATAGTATCGTGCGGACGTAAATAAATTTGAACGCGTCGTATCTTCCATGCAGGACTATGCGTCCAAACTTTTCAAATCCCCACCTAGTCTAATTAAAATTTGCACCTGTTTTGCGTATTTCTCCAAACAGACCTTCAATATTTAAAAAGAGCGAAGTAAAAATGTAGTAATGTAATAGGCCACTTGCACTAAGAGGTCATATGACCAATGCTTCCTTTAAACAATGAGTTGGAATCTTGCTGATGCCAAAAATCCACGGAGCGCATAAAAATTATCTTGCACCCGAAATTTGAGAGGAAACGCATTTAAGGGAGATATTTTATAGCTCTTTGATTTTTCAACAAAATAGTATGATTTGTATTGGCCGCCCCCATGTTGGAGGGTATACTCTGTGTGCAAACCTCAGCTCATGTCAGTTCTGGGGCAGTTCCTGCTTAGTACTCGCTGGAAAACTCTTGCTTCAAAATTGCGTCTGACAGGGCGAGATGAAGTAATTATGTAGGGGGGGGGAACAGGGGGGCGGGAGCCCGGGAGAACAGGGGGCAGGAGGGGCACGGGAGATGGGAGAAGAAAAAAACGAACCCAACAACGTTTCTTGACTTCCATTTAACGTTCTCCGAGGCTTAAAGCAAAATTTTATATGCGAGAAAAGTCAAAAAACGAAAATTCCTACTCGAGATAAAAAAAAAACAACAACAACAAAAAAGGGAGGCGGGAGGCCCCCGCCCCAAACAAAGGAAAAGCCTATCCCCAGTATGAAATTTACAGGACTTTTCCTGTGGTTACCATTATATACGAAACACGGACAGATTTGACATCATGCAGTTGACAAGATTTGTTTTTAATTAACAAACCATGGAAGACAGATGTAAAAACAATTTGATTTCATAACATTGAAAACAACTATTGAATTGCCGACATGTACAGGAAATTTATCTGACAAGTTTCACAGACCTTTGCTGAAAATAAGCCACCCGACACCCGAAAAACGTTTGGAACAACACACTGAAAAATGCCAGGTCGTTACATACAGACAGTGATATGAAATGCGGTGTAATTTATAGCTTCCGGGAAAACTCTCCACCTAAGCTGGAGGATAGTGGGAAATCACGCACGAGCGGCACATGAAAGGGGATGCGAGAACGCGGGGGCCGAGAAAAATAGGAGTCCTTTCCTTCTCGCTTGCATGTCATCCGCACGCCCCTCCCTCCCCGGGAGCACTCCCTATAATGGCCTATACGTAGCCTGCGAGCAAGCTCTCAATTTGGGGGATATTGTAAAAAGTAGACGCGCGAGAGGCTCGTTGGTTAGCCTATACGGGGAGGCTTCGCCCGAAATTAAAGGAGTACCTTTTTCAAGTTTCTTGTATATGAAAGGGTAGAGTTTTCAAAAGGAACTGATCCTTCCTTTCGGTCTATAAAAAGGCTCAAAAGGACCAATAGGTGCATTTTATGTCCGTGAAAAAGTCGAGAAAACGTTCTGGTTTACAGTCAACTCTCTCTAAGACGGACACCTTTGGGAGCGGCACTAAGTGTCCTTCTTAGAGAGGTGTCTGTCTTATAGAGAGACAAATAAAGGGAGTAAAGAAAGGCAGGGACCAACTCTAAGTGTCCGTTTTACAGAGGTGTCCGTCTCATAGAGGTGTCCGTTAAGAGAGAGTCGACTGTATATTCATATTTCAAAGACGGTGTATTTACAGCAGTTATTAGGATGCAATGAGTTCTAAACTTTGTATACAAAATGTGAACCTTTTCCGTCAAAAATGGCATATAAAAGGGTAAGGGGTGGACCTCGGGGCTGAGCCTCCGCATATAAAAACTCCGCTACCCGAAATGGAGAGCTTCAATGTTTCTTGCAAGCAATGTTATGTAAAGCAATGGTATCATCCTCCTTGATCTGCTTCTGTTAGAAAGATATGCCTAGTCAAGATCGGGTATCTCCGCTTTGCATCGGTCTTCATCACATTTGCCTATGACGCACGGCTTGTTATTTCCGCGGTTCCCCATTGCCTCTAAACAGATATGCTCCTGGTATCCAAAAGATGACTGATAAAAACCAATGAAGACAAACACTGACGCGTGACCTCGTGTGCCATCAACTGGAGAACAGATCCAGTCTTTATATCCTGTGTTACGCACACCGGTAAAAGCAAATCTGGAGGACAATTTTGGTACTTGGTATTCTGATCACACTTCTTTAGGGCTTTTTCCTGAGTTTCTCCATATCCAAAACATACAGGACAAGCTTTCACTGTAAACATAATCATAGAAAACGGTCGTGTTGTTTATTTTCTACCTCTTTTAGTAACTTCACTGAGCTGCCCCCCACACTGGTTTAAGTCAGTCGCTTTGAAGGGAACTACGATTCAAATGGCGGCGCGTGTTTTTCTGTGTTGATCATTGCTTTTTTTCGAAACTCAGGAAGCGGAGTCCTAGCTTAACCGTTTGTATGGCTGAATCCCTGAGTGGACAGGGAAGAAGCGAATCCTGTGTTCTGATTGGCTACCCGAGCTGGCAAAATGGGCCTATCTTGCCCGCTCAAATTGCCCGCTCAGGATTTCCCGCGTTGTTTCCGCGAAGAAACGTTTTAAAAGTTTTTTTTTCAGTGTTTGGCCATATAATCTGATCCTTTATTGCCCAAGCATATTCAATCATGATGCTTGTATTGTGACCAAGACTTTCTTTCGGTCCGTAAAAATGCGGCAAAGAACTTGGCCAAAATCCAGCCATCTTGACCTCAGTAACCCTTGACAGGAGGCGATTAGTAGGAGCCTCCACATGTGCTATAACCTTAAGTCAACCCTTTCCCGTGAAAATGTATTTTTATATCCACTGATTTCCCGCGAAAATATTTTTCCCGTAGACGTCCGCATAGCAACAGAAAAGAAAAAATGGCGGCCGAGGGAGAAAGCTTTACTAACGGCTCCTACCCTTGATCAAGTATTTCTGAGGCCCGATATCGATCTTCTCTGATTTGTGTGGAAATTCTCTACACCAGTATACCTTATTGTTTCATGCTAGGCTAAAAACTCTCTGTTAAATTCGAGTCCTGGTGCCTATTTAAGAAATTCTACGTTGCCACTAGGAGCTCATCAAGATGTTACGCGAAACTTTATCGATGAAAAAAAATTGTCGACGATCATTAAATTCTAGTTAACCATTCGCCATTTTAGAAAATTAACTGAAAAGGATCCTGGGCCA